CTTGAGCATTCTGTCCTTTTTAGTGTCACATCTCGTGACATCATGTCCAGTTTTTGGTTTGTTTACATGCCGACCGCAGAGTTCGTTTGCATTGGATTTGGTGCGCTTTACACATATTCAAATGAACCGCACTAAACACAGCAATCGCACCAGGGTTCGTTTTAATGATGTAAAGTTCACGAGGAACATGTTAAAATTATCTTTCCAATCAGCATGTGCAAAGGCCTATATACACTGAATAAAAATACAAATGCAACACTTTTGTTTTTGCCCCAATGTTTCATGAGCTGAACTTTTTCTATGTACACCAAAGACCTATTTCTCTCAAATACTGTTCACAAATCTGTCTAATGCCTGGTTCAGATTACACGATTTTAGCCTGATTTTGGAACAATCCGTTTGACGTAGGGTGTTGTGGGGATTCGTAAATGACAACGGGCGTCGGGACGTAAGATTCGATCGTATCATCTCGTATAGTGTGTCATAGTGGGCGACAACCTACGTCGCGTCTGCGATGCATCACGACAAAAAGACTAGCATGTTTAATTTTTTAACGGTCGTCCACGACGGTTCCGTCACATGTATGAGGTTGACCAATAGGAGCACAGAAGCTTTTCCGTACACAACTTTCAAAAATGGCGAAACGAAAGAGAGACGATGGTACTAATGTTAAAACTAAAAGTAAAAATATAAAAGAAAACAATATTTTACCTCAAGTTCTCTTTGGAGGATTGACAGCCCATAATGTCCTCTTCAAGCAGGGTTCTCAAGTCTCGCGCAATGGCCATGAGACACATGCAATTCAACCAGTTCACATGCTCACACCGTGTATTTTTTTCATGCTGAAAAGGCAATGCCGAGCAATCCAGGAACGTGTCCATTGTCAGGTTTTCTTCCTTTTTTTACTTTTTTCTGAACCCAGGACAGCCAGTACAACACTCACTGCTTCATCCATTGCTTGTTTACGTTCGTTTCTGGAAGTCACTCGCTACTAGTTTCTACTGTGTAATCTGACACAGTGACTATCGTAACATAACACAGACAAAAAAAAAATTGTGTAATCTGAACCAGGCATAAATCTGTGTTAGGCTATCTTTACACAGAAACGATTCTGAAGAGAAAACGCAAAACAAACGCGTTTAGACAAGCATTTTGGGTGGGAAATCCGTGTGCAAATGGTGACACAAAAGTGTGTGAAATTCAATGTAGTATGCACTTCAGGCGGCTAGGTGGCAATGTGGAGCACTGCCACACAACAACACCAAGTCCGTGCGCCTGCGTACAACCTTCACTGTCAAGCAGACTTTTGCGTTTTTACCCTTTACATGGGAACGCGGCAGTGGAGCGTTTTTAAGATTTCCACTCTGGAGGGTGGTTTCACTTTTTTGCGTTTTTTAAGTCCCAAAAACGCAGTCGCCGTGTAAACGAAAGACACATCCGATAAAATATTTTTACATTTTCACCCGCGAGCGTTCTCGTGTAAACAGGGCCTTAGTGAGCACTTCTCCTTTGCCGAGATAATCCATCCACCTCACAGGTGTGGCATATCAAGATGCTGATTAGACAGCATGATTTTGGCACAGGTGTGCCTTAGGCTGGCCACTATAAAAGGCCACTCTAAGGCCATGTCCACACGGACACGGGTATTTTTATAACCGTAGTTTTTCCCTCCTGCGTTTAAAAAAACCCCTCCAAACGCAAAAACAAGACATTAAGCGCTGTCAAGAGCATGCAACACCAGCAGGCGGCGATATAAACCTAACCGTAAAGCCACGTAAGCCAATCAGAAGCCGTCAGCGGTGCAAAAACACCGGTTTCGCTGTCTACATGACAACACTGCAACCGGCGTTTCAGAAAATACTCACCCTGGCAGGGGTTTTCAAAAATGTTCGGTTTCAGTGTCCTAATACTGCGTTTCCGTGTAGACGAACGGCCGAACCGCGTAAAAAAAGTCACGGTTATAAAAATACCCGTGTCCGTGTGGACATGGCCTAAAATGCGCTGCAATAATTTTGTTCAGTGTATATACATAGCCGACTCACCTATGTTCCTCAACAGTTTTCTGCATCTCTCCACCACCCCGTCTCCTCACTCTCGTCTGGTTTCTATCCCAGTCAGGGATACTCCCCCGAGAACTCTGGGTTTGGATCAGATACCGAACTCGGAGCCTGCCCTCGGACAGCATGCCAAATACACTTACTCTTTACTCTATATGATTATTTGTATGTGTGAACACATCCGCAGATGCACATTTTCAGGGGTCTCTGTCCCCTTCCACATTAACTCAGATAGGCCTACGGTTCGACTGAAATATGAACGCAACACGGAACAAAGACCAAAAATAGGACATGATGTCACAAGATGCGGCCCTAAAAAGGACAGAATGCTCGAGCTAACCTGTTTTTTCTCATCATAGTCTCGATGTTGCCCATCATAGTTCCGCACAGGCATCAGAACCGCGTCATATGTAGCGTGGCACTCAAAACAAGCACATTTATCCCAGCACACAGCATTGTTTTGGATGTTCAGTAAGTTCCATTGCAAATTACACGTCATAAAATACTTTTTTTGTATCTTTCATTAGGTGTTTAAAATGTCAGTGTGAATGTTAAGTGACTAAATGTCAAAATCTTTTTCCTTTCTCTTGGTCCGGACCAAAAGAACGAAGATAACTGAACTAAGGGTGCTTTCACACCTGCCTCATTTAGTTCGGTTGAATCGCACTAGAGTTTGTTTTAACCCTTGGTGAGGTTCCTTTGGTCAGGTGTGAAGGCAGCAATCACACTCGGGAGCGCACCAAAAGCAGACCAAACAAGCGTACGCTTACATACAGTCGGCAGCGCGTCATAGTTGGGGGCGTGGTCGGCGTGGGGGAAAGCAGCGCGACCATCCTATGTATTTGAATGACAAAAATGTCATATTGACTATTTTATGGCCACTTCCAGAGAGGTCTCATCTCCACCGGGCGTGTCATATTGACAGACTATTGTAAGTTATCTGATTGAATCTCCAGGTAAGACATCGCGGAAGCAACAGGGGCAACACAAGCCTATTACTCAAACAACTTGCGTATAAGTTAATATAAGTCCATGTCACTTACCAATTGTACGTATGCTTCACTTCAAACTGTTAATCCTTTTGTAAAACGGTGATCAGTTAGTAGATACGAAGTTGCAGAGGGACTTTGCTGACAGTTATCCGAATTCTCACAGTCTGATAACCTTCAGCTGATAACCAGCTTATAACGCTAATGTGACTGAGACATCCCTTATGAAAAACAACTAAAGGAATCTTGTAGTATTTTAGGACAAAATATTATAGTAACGTTAATCCTATAGGAATACTATAGTATTTTGGGACATATAGCCTAAGTATAGAGGTATTAAAGAACATCACAGAAGTATTATACACTATTATAGAATACTAATAGCCATAGGATTACTATAGTTCTTTTTCGTAAGGGATGTAACGTCAGACAAATCTGCAATAATATCTCCAATAATATCTCCAATAATACGAGTTAAACATCTACTACTATATCACACAGGGACCTCTACTCACACAGTAATCTAATAAGATATGATTAATTTTGCCATTTTGTCCTCCTATCCGGTTCTGTATGTATGTAAGAAAGGCTGTTGAACTTCAATTTATAATTTGTTAGTTTATTGGTGGTACAGAAAACGACACAGCAACTCTTCGGCATGATTGTCCCATGTATTTCAATGAGCGCCAAGGCAATGTTTTCCCCCACGGGCTAAATTCACACCACGTGACGGGGCGTTCCCGGGGGCGTTCCCAGACCAACCGACTGTATCTTTTCAAACAAACTCTGGAGCGGTTCGTTTGTGGTGAGAATATGATCCGACCTCGAACAGACCCAACTGCCAAATAATTGCGCATTTTTGGACTAAACCAGCTGCCGTAGTAAAACAAAATGATTATTTATATAGCCAATAGAGCTCCCTTTAAGCCATGACTGACTTACCTCATTCTGCACTCTCACTAAAACACTCATCATGAACACTGAAGTTGTCCACACCGCACAGTGATTCTCTTATTTATATCGCGTCTATGCTTTGTTGTTTATTTGCAAAAGGATAAAGCTCGTGCTGATTCTGAACATATATTGTGAGTTAATTCTCCGCATGTCAGCCGGATTTTGCTCGATCCTCTTTGTTTACTGTTGGGAGTTCTGTTGGGATTTTCACGCACGTTCTGACCAATCGAAGTGCAGTTATGGAAATATGTTCAAGACATATCTGGACAACGAGTAATGTGAATGCTGTCACGTGACTATATTTTGATTCGTTTCATCAACTCATCAACTGATTCGGACCAGAGCAATCAGTATGGTGTGAAAACGAACCAAAACCCCTGAAAAATGCTACAAAGTATCATTTTTCACTCTTGGTCCAGAACACATGAACCGAACTACAGATGTGAAAGCACCCTAAATGTGTGAACACTACATATAATATGTAATATTATAATTGTACTTTGAAATGTGCAATTAACTGTTAATTTGTTAAGTGGTCACATTAAAAATAACCAATCCAATTATCCAGTAAAATGGCAAAACTTATAAAAATGTATTTAAAAAAAATCCACTTGAGGTCAACAGAGGATCGTTATTATAGCGGTTGGTTGGTTAGAATTACTTGGTTAGTAATTAATAGGCACATTTTTCAGGTCACCTGACTAAACATTTTCTACAGTTTGTGAGCAGCCGTTTCTTGAATGCAAAATGGATTTCGTTAGCCAACTATGGTCGCAAGTTGGTCGCAATTTCCATTGAACTCTATTCGTAACGACGGAACTTGCAACCATAGTTGGCTAACGATGCTTGCGGGAAACCCACCCCTGGCCAGTGATTTATAACATAGAAATAAACATCATATTGACATTTAATTATATGGCGTATAATGTAAATAATTTGATTAACTTTTTGGAAAAACTGGCAGGTCTAAAAATATATGTGTTCTTCTCTGTATTTTCAGGAGTCTGAGCTTTCGACGCATGAGTTCATTCCATCGTCTTTAGGATCAGAGCAGCACATTTGTGAGTTAAAACATCTCACCCGAGACGGACTAGAGCCAGACCTCGAGACCTCCGCTCCAGCTCTGGCCTTCACAGATGAGTCCGCAGCCAGTCAAAGCCACAGTCGCCGGCACGATCCTACTGAACAAGAAACTGAACAGATCCTGGAGAACGAGGGGTTTGATCAGGAAGAACTAAAGCAAGATCATGAGAACCGCATTACACAGAGAAGATATGATCTCGAGGAAGAAACGCCAGCTGTGGTGGTGACCCAACCAGATGAGGTGAGTGGAGACCAGAACGTCTTTCACAGCCAGTGTGACTGCTCAGGAACACTTCATCTTGTGTCCTTGGCTGTGTTTACACCTGGTATCAAGATGCATTTGGGTCGATCGGATCACAAGTAGACGAGGGAGATACAGTCCCGTTCACACCTGTATTTTAATCCGACTTTTTTGTCCACTTTCAACCATTTCTACGAGGGGAGGGTCGAACCAGACCAGCCAAACGCTGTGAGTGTGTGTTACAAATCATGAATGATGAGAGAACATTGTGATTGGTACGTAGGGTTGGGTATCGTTTGAATTTGAACGATTCTGATTCCGATTCCGATTCCTTGTTTCGATTCCGGTTCCTAACGATTCTCGATTCCGATTCTTTTAAGAGGCAGGGTCAAAAAAGTTTAGCTAACCTTGCTAACCAACGGCCTTTCTGAAGGAAATAATCCTTTCTGAAGGAAATACTCCTTCTGTAAAAATACTCCTTTTGTCACAAATTTTGCATTTTGCCGAGATTTCGTTATTTTTAGAAAAGCGAAGCCACACTTTGGATCGCCGACGTAAGGTACTCATGTTCGACTCGCGTGGTTATGCCAACACTTCCGGTAGACGCTTCTTCGTTGGTGTTGTTTAGCGGTTTCTTCTTCCGCTCGGCGGACTGTGAATATCGAAACTAGGAATCGAAATTTTAACTTTTGAACGATTCCGGGAAAAACGAAAAGTTAGTCCCGGTTCCAATCGATACTCGATTCTCGATACCCAACCCTATTGGTACGTTTTTCATCTTTAAACTAAACTTGGGTCTCCAGCCGTCACAGTTTAAATCCTGTCTGACTAGAGCTCTTCCAATAATGTTCACACGTGAGGTCAGTCGGCCTATTTGAACACATTCGACCACATGAGCGTTTACACTACGAAAGCAATCGGGTCAAATGTGTTTTGAACTACCTCTGAAAGTGGTCTAAAGTGGACAAGCTCAAAACGTTTTAGACCCGATTTTGTCATGTTACGCTAAATAGAACCCAAAACACGGTTTATTTATAACCAGAAAACAAAGACCCATGATGAGGCAAACAAACAGCAACTAAGACAACAACTAGACTTGACAATAAAACGGAACTGGAACATTAACAGACAGATCACAATAGAGGGTATGCGTGTGACGTCACCGTCGGCCGGAGCGCCTGCAGTTCCTCACAGTGAGTGGCAAAAAGACTGAGCGGCTGTATTTGTTTTCAGCGTGAATGCCGCGAAAAACAAGCACAACACATATAAAGTGGGAAAGAGCTTTGTGATTGACTGTTCAACTAGATTTAACAAAAAAATCAGAGGTATATTTTTACAGACTGCTATAGAAAGAGGAACAAATGGATCGAAACAACTGGACTCCAGTCAGCGAAAAGTGGATTTGCAGTTATTAGTTTGTCAATATGCTGAATTTAGCTGTAAAACCATACCCATATATTTTGTAAAAAAAAAAAAAAAAAAAAAAAACGTTTTATGGCTGGACGATATGATGATATATAGGCTATATATATAACACTGATATAAGTGATCACCCGGATTTAGACCTATATTGTATTTATATAAAGCGCTCACAGGCAAATTTGCTTTATGTTTAGGTCTATATTGCTTTTATTTCCCCGGTGTTGAAATCAGGCAAACATAAACGTCAGGAAACACGATTCCTGGCCGCATGTCAATATCCATGGATCACTGGATCTTTAGTAAGTTGTAAGGAACACTGTATTGAGTCCAACATTTAGTTTAAATTGATCAAATTGTTGGTTTTAGTCGCATTTTAGAAAGCTTAGAACGCATAATCACAAAGGTACAGGTGACACTGATGAACAAGGGGCGTGGTAAGGACACATGATCACAATCACAGGTGTCACTGATACAACATTAACAAGGAAACGAGGTAAAACAAGACAATGTAAACACATACGCAAAGCAACCAGCCATGTGTTTGCACACAAATCAAGAGAAAAATACATCTTAATACAAGGTGTAAACAGGGCTCTTGTTACAGTGCAGTTAATCATTTAAGTATTGAGTAATATTAAATATCAACATGTATTTATTATAGGGTTCGGTTTTGCTTTAGTTTGCATAATTTAAAGTTATTACTGTGGTAACTACATGTAACATGTAACAAGGTCACTGTAAAACCGTGGAACACAAAAGTAAATGTTTAGAAGAATGTTCAAACTGCTGTTTTTAATAAGTATTTTCAAGATTTGTTATCACAACATTTTTTCTTTTGTCGAATCAACTTAAATAATTTATTTAGTTCAGATAACTTATTATTTTGAGTTTCTGATGATTAAATCAATCTCCTTCATTGTTTTAACTCACTTTTTCCAATACAATCAACTTAAAATTTTAAGGGAACCAGGTTACTTCATTTTTTAAGTTAAACCAACAATATTTTTTACAGTGTACAGTGAACTGAATAGTGACCACAACTGTATAGCAAGATTAAGATTTTCTGGGAAAACAACAAAAATGTAAGCCTATTTCTCACACAAAGCTATATTATAAGTTTTAATAAACAAATGAATATATAAAACCTTATTAAAATCAGTGAGACCTCAATTTGCAATTAAACAGAGAAATTAGGTCATCACAAACATTATGCTTGTATTATCATCTTATAACCTCACCAAATATGTCCATTAACAACAAATTGAACAAATGACACCTGACTGTACTTAATAAATGGCTTTATATTTAGTTTATTCTTGCGATTAGTATTCATATTTAGTGTGGATCTTGTGTGTTTTCTTCTGTGTACAGTCGAGTCTCGCTCTCACACACGGTGCTTGTTCTTTGTGTAAATGTTATCTCTGATCATGCAGCGCGTTTTATCTCACAAATGAAACAGTTCTCATGATAAGGTCTACATTTCTTTCATTATATGCATGCAAATTATTAATTGACTTCTTAGATGGGTGCTGGTTTTACAGCTGTGGTTGTACCAAGATTTCACTCAGACAACTGGAAGTTCATTAAATGTCGAACTTACAAGCTTTGAAAACTTTGAGAGAACAAGAAAAAATAATAAAATAAAAGTAATTTATTCGCCACAAACAAGACCCTTTCTCGCAACTTTCTCTCACGTCCCTCGGCCGTCCTGCTCACCACAAATACAAAGCAAGATTTTTGAAGAACGTTGCGAATCGAACAACATTTAAAACAACATCTAAAACCCACTGCTCAAAATATCTTCTTTCATATTCTCCAAGAAAGTCAGTCCCACTAAAGTGTCTTTAACTAATATACATGTACTAGTACACTATGTAACATTTTGAATTGGTCATTTTTAAAAATGCATGTACACTGAACTTATATGAAAAATACCTGCACATAGTTACAGCTGTATTTCATTTACTGTATGTAATTACATCTATAATTACACGGAGCCTTCCTTTACCTTTTAACCCTCTCTTAAACACACCTATACACTGTAAAAATGAATATGCTTTATCCAATCAATAGAATTGTGGCAACAGATTACAAGCAATATTATTAATTAAATTGAACAAATTAGAATTGAGTAATAATTAATCAAATTATTCCTTAAAAGAGTTTACACCAAAAAATTTAACAAAAATATCTCACTAACAGACAGACGTCAAAGATTAATTAAGAACTCTTTATTTACATTGACAACATTGAAGACACCTGATGTTAACAAGCAGATTCACTGAAGGAGAAAACCGTCATTTTAAAACAAACACCGATCACCATACACTCTCAGAAAAGCTGTCACTGGGGCTGTACCTTTTCAAAAGGTAAACTTTTGTCCATTTTAGGTGCTATATGTACATTTCAGGGGCTAAAATGTCCATTTTAGGCCCTAATATGTACATTTTAGGTGGTAATATGTACATTTAGGTACTAAAATGTACCTTTTTGGTGCTAATATGTACATTTCAGGGGCTAATACGTATGTCCATTTTAGGTCCTAATATGTACATTTTAGGTGCTAATATGTACATTTTAGGTGCTAATATGTACATTTCAGGTGCTAATATGTGCATTTTAGGTGCTAATATGTACATTTCAGGTGCTAATATGTGCATTTTAGGTGCTAATATGTACCACTAAGGTATCAATATGCAACCTTTGGGTACAAAAGTGTACCTTTTGAAAAGATACAGCCCCAGTGACAACTTTTGTACCTTTTTTTCTGAGAGTAATGGTGACTTAAATGTATGTTTTTTGGTTGTTGTTGTTGTTGTTGCTCATTTAAAATTCCTTAAACTTTTAAGGAATTAATTTGATTCATTATTACTCAATTCTAATTTGTTAAATGTAATTAATAATATTGCTTGTAATCTGTTGCCACAATTTGTTTGATTAAATAAAGCACATTCATTTTTTACAGTGCGGATCCACCTTAATAGCAGCAATTCAACATCAACACAATAACATTGTATGCCCAACAATTATTATTATTATTATGTAAGAACATAGTAGTCAAAGACACCTAAAATATAAAGTGAGCCGATACGTTTCTGAAAGGACATGAGGGTTAGGTGAACATGTTATGAACCCCTCTCAACCCCTGTCCTCCAAACACTTGACTCCGTCCTGCTAAGTATAGCCCACTTTGACAATCCAATCAATTCCCTCTGTTAGATTTTCAGAAATACATCTAATATGTGCCATTCTGGGTTTATTATTATTTTTACTTACAGTGTTGGCTCACACACACACACCTGTAGTGTGAGTGCGCTGGCCTGACTGAGCAGTAATGATATCTGCTCTGATGGGTGAGCTGGATGGGCTGCACACTCTAAAGTGCCCCTGGGGGAGCCAATAGATAAATCAGTTTAAGCCCTGGACCCCATTTAAAAAGGCTTTGGCAGGTTAATGTGATATCCACTCCAATACATTATACCAGCCTCTCATTCAGGTAAATAGGCACTTACTCTGGCCTGACCCACACTCTCTGCTATCCAATTGTGTTTATTTCATTAGCTCATCCGTACAGAGTT